GCTACAGAAATACTTTAGAATAAATAGTTGTCCATAGTCTAAATAAAACTATATACAACAAGATCCTCTGTTTAAAAAAGAAACAAACAAAAACTCAAAAAGAGGTAAAGGAGCTAAAAACAAGTGGAGAAGAAGAATGCTTTATTCATTTATCAAGGAAATGAACAAGAAATTAAGCTAAATTAAAAAATACAGTTTAGAAACAAGAAAAGAGGTAACTGAAATTGAAAAAGTTAGGAAGGTGATAAATAGGCATTAAGAAATCATACAATATGAACAAATGATGATTTCAAAGTTGTTATAGAGAAGAATTCCATAATGAATATGGAATTGAGTCAAAAGAAAGCCAATGTAACTGATATATTTGAAGAAAATAAGTAAGTCAGAAAAAACATTTAGAGATAAAACAGAAGAAATCATTTTTGAAATAGAGTAAATTAAAGCATGAATCTGCAGATTCAACGGGCTTGCTTTGTTCTAGGAATATTAGACACAGGGTGATCAGGCCCAAGGTATAACCCAGCAAATTTATGGAAGAAGGGACTACACTGGGAAGGGCATCCTAGCTGAGGATGAAATGGCTCTGTAAGTCTCAGACTTCACCATAGTACCACTCAATACCAAGAAAATAAAACATTTTCACCAAAGTCTGAGAAGAAGAAAGTATGACAATAATTTTATACCTACCCTTCAAATTAGAGGCAATGTATAGACATTGCCAAATATACAAGGCCCTTCCAAAAGAATCAAGTCAGTGACCGAAACCAGCCAAGCATGAGAAGTAACTAGTACTTGTTTTTCACTTTAAAAATTAGCATTAGCATAAGATATTTTAAACATTTCACATTATGGAAACTCTGATAGAATATACAAGACAAAACAGAATGTATTTTTTAACCTACTACTTAATCAAAACATATGGGGCAATGAAAAACGTGATGCTTAATAAAAATTAAATGGGACTCTGCATAAAGTAGCTAATTAGTGCCAGGTGCAGGAAACTTTGAGGGCTCCTAGGAGGGAGATGATCACCTTGGGTCATGGGGGTAACAGCTTGCCCAAAGAAGAAAGGCTGCAGAGACTAAAAGTATAGGTTTCTTTCCAAGATACATCTAGGACTCCTTTTGCAGAAAAGTGGGTCTCAACACAAAAGGATTCATATATAATATCTACATGTTTTCTGATTTTAAAAAACTGGAATATTTCCAATATTAGGTTAAATTATATCCAGCACATTGAATTTTCCAGATTTCAAGGTGGGGTGGAAGTGGGGGGTGTTGAAAATACCAGTTGCATTATTTTAATGTTACATCTGATTTATAATTTTCCCTGAATGAATTTTTTCAATCACTCACTTTTTATTGGATTTTTTTGGTGGCCCCAGTAAGATGCTTCAGAGTATGTTATAACAAAACTCCCCTTCAACTCAAAACAGAAGTTTCTAAAATGAGGATATATTACTTTTTGTGTTTAAATAGTGAGGAGATTGAAAAAATATGTCCCTATAGATTTCTGTATAGAATAGTGGCTGCTTCTCTAAAATAATAATGATAATATTAATAATAATAATAATAGATGGGAATTTTGCCAAAACCATATATATTTCTCAATACTTACACACTCTTGTGTGGCCAATTATATTCTATCAAAAGAAACATACTTTTGAGTCACTAAATAATTCGAAGTTGCCATAAAGACGTATATCGTCAATTTGTTTTTGACATTTTAAACAAGTTTCACCTGACATACTCAGCTCTCAGTTTCCACACTGGAGGCAATCAGCATCTAGCATATGGTATACACGACACAAAACGGAGCAGGGCTCAGCTTCACAGGCAAGGCGGCTGGCAGATTTGACAGTTCTCTTCCAAATTACTCATCATGTTTTGAATTGCTGCTAGGAAAAGAATGTGTTGCCCATCTCCAAAATAGATGTTCCTTTTTATTTTTAAGCTTGGGAAAGATTTCCAATAGAAAGTAAGACAGATGGGTATAGGAAGCAAGATATTTACCCCTATTTAGACTCTTTTCTTCTGTCAGTTCCCTCATCAGAAGAGTTTTCCAAATAAACAAATGAATAGTTCAGCATTCAGACTTAACTATGTCCTAGGGTGTACTTTTGCTTCTCATATTAAAAGTGCTTTTGGAACAGCAAAAAGTCAAAACCACAGGAAGGGCTGGTGGATTTTTAATGATCAAAGTGACATTTGTCTAGATTTTGTGGTAAAAAGCACCTAAGGAAGTTAGATTCCAGGGCTTTTTTTGAGATGTTGATGACATTGCACATGAGGGAGTGAAATCTGGAGAATACTTTCCTCCATTGGCAAGTTTGTGACTGTTTGCTTTCAGTAAAACTTCCCTCACTGAGGATCATCAAAATCAAGAGTATTTCTTATACTCTCAAAAGTACAGGCTGGAAGGTGTTCATTCCAACTGTAAATTGCATAGAGTTTCAATTCTTATATCAAATTCAGCTTATAAGAGTCAGACAGCTTGGGAGATTATAATGATTTCTAAATGGGCTTTCCACACACACTATGCAGTTTGTGGTATGCATGGTATTTAATGGTGTGTAATGTAGTGATTGGTTTCCGAAACTGTTAAGTATTCCAGAATCTGCATATAGTTCTCCTTTTCTTTTAAAAGCTTCAGACAGGAAGTAACCCCTGAATTTTCTCTAAATTTTATATATTTTGTATATATTTTTTCACCTAACTTATACTAGAACTAAAAGATGGACTTTCTCCCTTTCTGTGGTTTCTACGTTGTAGAATACCCTTTATGCTATTGCTAAGAGCTTTAAAGTTGAAACATTTTAATATTAATATAAACGTAGTTTTCTGTTATATGAATATTAAATTCATAATTTACTTGATTTGTATCTTCTGACCTTACAATAACAATTAGCATTTATATGATTTCTGAATTAAATTGATGTAAAAAGTTAATGCAAAGAAAAGCAGGCTAATACCATTATTAGTCTCTTCTTTGGTGATCCAGTAAAATCATATTCAACATTCAGTTTCCCAAATTAATAGTAGTTGTCAAGTTTCAAGTATAGTTCTTCATATTTCTGAACACTGTCATAAGTCATTCAAGATAGATTTATGAAATGACAGACTTTCCCAGAATAAAGTATAGTGTGTCAAGAATCTATTCTTTAGTTCCAGTCCAATGGGAATTTAAGAAATCATTTTAAACAAGAATAAAAAAAGAAGTAACTTGTAGGTGACAAATACATCTCAGTACTCTGTGTACATCATATCTTCTATTCAATGTATTTTTATTCATGATTTTTAATATATTGGAAATTATTAATATATTGTTCTATGTTCCAGGAACTTGTGAAATAATATAAATCAAGTGGTCATGGTTTATTGACATAAAGTTTCTGTATATAAAGATCTATAATTTAAATGTGATTTTCCTGTTAATTTGAAGTTATTACCTTATTCTTTCCCACTCACGTCTTAATTTTAGATGTCATATAACTGATATATAAAGTTATCATTAATATGAATTCTTACAAATACAAAAAATGAAGATTAAAAACGATAATATATTTCTTAATTTTCTAACAGCATCAATTTCAAAACGCACAATTTAACAATTGTGTTTCAAGAAAAAATGTTTGTAGTTTATGTTCAAATCGATTGTAAGCCACAGTATATTTTGAAAATATTGAAATGTGAAGTAATGTATGTCTCAGAAACTAGGAATACGTTAACCAACGTTGGCATACAAAATGTTTTCACATGTGTGATCAATCTTGAACTTAATTCATTCCACAGCAGTTTTGACAAGTCAGGGTTTTTCTCTCCATTTTATTGAGGAAGTGGCTGAGGATTAGGGATCTTGAATAAGTTACAAAGGAAATACTGCTCAGAAATGGCAGAACAGAAATTCAGATTGGGAAACCAAAGTTCTATTTACTATATTTGCTCTCATATAAGAAAACAGTACATAACAATAATGCTTATGAATGTTTCAACCAATGGGGGGAAATGTTATATGAGTTTGGATTAATATATATCAAATGCCAACAATGTCAAGCCAGTATATTAAGAAAGCTTTTGAAGTTAGATGGACCATTTATAAAGCTGTGTCAAACTGAAAACTTGTTAAAACATCTCTTAGTGTATTAAAGAAGCTATGTACTAAATTCATTTATTCATCCACCCATCCATCCATTTATGCATATATACATCTATTCATTTTTTTCTAACACAATTATCAAGATTTCTTTGATTTAAACACATTTCTTGGCAGTTGAAGCTAAACTTTAAAATAAATGCAGAAAGGTTATTAACCAATAAGTTTGAGAAGACTGTATTATTTGTTTAAAATAATTACCACTTAAATTACTGCAAGTTCAAGCTGTTAAGTTCAATTTTGCAAAGCCAAATGAAGAATGAGATATATTCAAATCACAAACTTTTCATGCCAAAGAACACAGCTCATCCCTCCATTTTCCTCTTAGCATAAGCATCAATGTAACAGTAACTTGAAGCATTCTACTAAATTTTGCTGAAGTAGGCATGCAGATAAGTGTACAGCAGTAAAAAAAAAATATACCCTTACAAAGCAAGAACTCCAAGCAGCTTAAAAGAAAAGTGCATAAAGTAATGGAACTTCTAATTTAATTCATAGTGCTTTACCTTAACAAATACCAAACGTAACTCACAATTGACTATTTTATATGCACAGGAAAAAAAAGAAGTATTATATTTTTTCTCCTTAAGAAAAGTTAGCAGTTTATAACATCAATCATTCATATATTCTTTTACTTGAAAACGGTTACCTATTAATTGCTAGGTAGCAAAAAGTTATGGTTTTTCAAAGCGATGAAAAAATCAGGAGCAACTTTCATAGCAGACAGTGTCTCAGGTAATATTTTAACATGGGTGAACAAATGTATTTCATTCCACTATATCCTACTCTGCATGAGCTATGAAGCACTATACAAAGCCATGCGAAATGGATAGAGGATGGCTACTTACCAACAGGGCGAGCTGTAGACATTACAATGGTGTAGTGAGAACATAAAAAAGAAATTAAAAAAAAAAGAAAAGAAAATTATCAGAATGCATGATGTGTAATGTTACATTTAAGTATGGACAGTAGGGTGATTTCTAGTCTCATTACTCAAATATGAACAGGACGTCTTAGCTTGATAAAAACTGAAAATTATAAATAGAATTCTAAGAAAATAAATATTTTGCATGTCATGATTAACTCTAAGTAATCTGAGAGACAGTTTACATGAGGTCTTATCGTCATCATCACTTACTGTAGTAACTATTTCAAAGATCTCTTTAGAGCTAAACAGCATTGTTTACCCCAAAGTTAGGAACCTGATGAATATAACTTTATTCAAGTCACAGACTAGCAAATGTCATGTCAATAAAAGAAGGCTTCACTGTCTGATTTAAATAGCAATTGGATTTTAAGCATGGTTAGTCAGAACCATTACAAGGACTACTGAAAAGCCCCTGACACTGCTTTTCAGCCAGTAATAAGTTAAGATCACATCACTTTTCATCCGTGGACAGGGTGGATGAAAATATAACAAATAGGTTGGAACATCCTTAGAGATTTCAACTGAGTAGCCCCCTAACTACTGTTAAGCTCTTTTCTTTTCTTGGCAGAGGGCAGGAAACAATGACTGACAAATTGATTCTTGCTCACGAGAATGGCTTTCAAACTGCTGCTTCAACAAATTACTATTTTTTTATTATACCGTAACTTTCAATCACTAAAATCAGTAGTAATAGGCTGCCCTGTTATTAATACATAGAAATTGTAAGAGACAGACATTGGCTTAATAATACTTTCTTTAAAAAGAATAATGCTAAGTCAATTTAGATAGTAAACCACTTTATATAAAAGTAATGGACAAGTATAAAACATACGGTCCCAATGTTCAAATGAAGAAGGAACGGATTCAGTAGTGTTTGAACTTTTATGAAATGTCTCATTTCAAAATAAAATTTTACTCTACAGACAAGTGTTTCACCCATATCCCAGTGGATAAAGCTCTAGTGCACACAATATGACTCAAACTTATGAGTGGTTTTGTCTTGATGATGTGTTGCTGGGTGTGGTTATACAGCCGTTGAAATCATATTTACAGGCATTCATTCACTCAACAGACATCATAATACTAGCTTTGTGCAACCTCTGAAATAATACTGAAGTTTCTTCTACATGAGATTCATGGTCTTATAGTATTATTCACAATTAAAAGGGAGGAATTAAAACCCTTCAGAGAAGAATAAAAGCAATTATAGCAACAGAATGAAGATTCTAGCCTGGTGAAACTCTGGTGTGTCCTACAATCTACAGTGGGTTTACTATAGCAAGAGGGAAAAAGTAAGCTGAACAATGCATGATTGCTTTCTTTTTTGGAGGGGGGAGGGTCCAGGCACACAAAAATAACAACTTCTTTAAGAACAAAACAAATACTAACATAATAATGGTGTGCCTTCTTCTAACTGATGAGATTTCTCTTCATTTTGCCAGTGTTTAGTAGAAAAAAATTTCTTTCATTTCTGAATTTGCATTTTTCAAGTGCTACCTCAAGCTGAACCTCAAACATGTTTCTCTTAGAAACAAAAAGGCATTTTGAGTCTATGAGTCTATGACTGTAAAGAGATAAAAGAAAAAACATGGTGAGAAATCATGTTTTGAGGAAATAAAATATGTTTCTGTTTCACTTAGTCTAGGGTAATTTCAAGAAAAATTAAGGTTTGATTTCTCTGGAAACAAGATTGTTTTTCCAAAGAAGTCTTGATTTATGCAAAACCATTTAAGCAACTGAAAAATGGGAAAAATTGTGTTTACAAATATGCAATTTGTATTCACTCATTTTGAGTCATTTTTTAAAAGTCCTATTAAATCATGAATTATTTGATTAGAATATAAATGCTAAGAGGCTTGTTGTTGTCTAACATTGTTTTTTCTAATTTTCTGTTTGTCAAGTCAGCAAAAGGAGCTACTTGCTGTTAAGTTTAATTTTATAGTCTATATTCACCATATTTTTGAAGTGGAAAACAACTGAGTAAGTCTGTTTCAGATTTTAACTATAAAACTCCCTTTTCTTTTCCCCAATTCACTAAAGTGAATAGCATGATACAATTTTAGCAGAAATACCACAATAAAACTTCTTGCCTTTGTTACATAGCAACATTTCATCTTGGAAAAAACCAGCAGGTGGATGTTTTCAAAATCAGCAAATTAAACTAAACTGTGTCCCTGCATTAAATGGATGAAAATGGATGTGGCCTCTTGGGTCAGTTGACCCCATTCTAATAAAACAATCCAGAGAAGGGCTGAACATTTCATTTATGTGCATAGAAAAATGAGCATAGAAAAAAATAAGCCATAGATAATATGTTTTTTCTCCTGTTAATCTCATAGCATGAGAAATCCCAACCGCTTTTCCTGATGATAAAAAATATTCTTAAACAATATTTCACTCACATTCTATTATATTGTGGAGATTTTTTTTCTTTAACCCTGTTTTGGAGGTTTCAGTCTTAGACGAAATACATAACGCAAAGATTAAACTCTCTAATCCATCTACAGGATGCAGAATAGGGGAGAGACCACTTAAGGTTTGCTGATTTAAGAGGAAATCCCATTAAAAACAAACAACTCTTTCTATTAGTTTTGTAAATTAGCTTCAAACATCC